AACTACGACGACGACGACGACGACGACGCCGACGACGGCGACGACGACGACGACGACGAGCGAAAGCGAAGGAGAAGAAGCGAGGAGGAACAGGGATGAGAAACTGTGGCGCAGGGTGCGGAGGAGCGAGGGGAGAATCTGAAAGGATTAGCGAGGTCGTGTGAGGAGTGACGAGGCGGAGGAAGAGGAGGAGGAGGGGGAGGAGGAGGAGGAGGAGAGGAGGAGGAGGAGGGAGGAGGACGAGGAGGAGAGAGGAGGAGGGGAGGAGGGAGGAGGAGGAGGAGGAGGAGGAGGAGGAGAGGAGAGGAGGAGGAGAGGAGGAGGAGGAGGAGGAGGAGGAGGAGGAGGAGGGGGAGAGGAGGAGGAGGAAGACGGCGACGACGATAAGAAGGGGCAGGAGGGTGAGTTACGAGGTGGAGGAGGGCGGAATGAAAGGAATAAACGAAACGATGGATGACGAGGAGAAGGAGGTGGGACAGGGAGAACAGGTTTATGGGTATGAGAATAGGCGTGGTGAGGACGAGCGGGAGTGAGGAGGGGGAGAAGGAGAGGCGGGGAGAAGAAGTGAGAACGAGGATGGGGCAGCAGCAGCAGAAGAGCGAGGCATGACGGCGGGCGCAGGAGGGGGAAAGAGGTGCGAAGCAGGGAACGCCGAGTAAGAGCTTTCATAGAGGAAGAGGAGGAGGACAAGGGGGAAGAGCACTTGCATGATTGGCTGGTGGTGAGAGGGAGTGAAAAGGCGCAGGGGGGAGGAGGCATCGGCAAGGGCAGGGACACTCGGAAGGGAGACAGCGGACACGGCGCCAAATCTGCACGCACGTTCCGCAAACAGTGAATGGCATAAGGGACGTTGGAGGAGGAGGAGGAGGAGGAGGAGGAGGAGGAGGAGGAGGAGGAGTCCACCTTCCACCTCCTCCTCCTCCTCCTCCTCCTCCTCCTCCTCCTCCTCCTCCTCCTCCTCCTCCTCCTCCTCCTCCTCCTCCTCCTTCCTCCCCCTCCCCCTCCCCCATCCTCCTCCTCCTCCTCCTCCCTCCTCCTCCTCCTCCTCCTCCTCCTCCTCCTCCTTCCTCCTCCTCCTCCTCCTCCTCCTCCTCCTCCTCCTCTCCTCTCCTCCTCCTCCTCCTCCTCCACCTCCACGTGCTCCACACCCCCGCCTGCCCGCTGGGAGCTGGACGGTCTGCGGCGGGCTGCCCGCCGTTGTGGAGGGCCGGCGGGGGCGCCCGGCGGGGCCGCCCGGCGGGCGGCCGCGGGCGCGCCGTGTCGAGGAGGGCCCCGTGCGCTGGCTGGGCGCGTCGAGGGCGGCCCCGCGGGCGGTCCGCGGGCGGCGCGCGGCCTGGCCCGGGGCGGCGTCGAGGCGTCGCCCGCGTGGGCGGCCGCGTGGGCACCTCGTGGGCGCCTCGCGGCGCTTGCCACGCACACACCGACGGCACTGCACCGTCTGCACCACGGCGAGCACGTGCATCGAAGCTTGCAGGGCGTGGCCTGCATCGTCTGGGTGCCAGCACGGCACACCACAGGGTTTGCATCACACGGCCTGCAGCCGCACAGCTGGTGCACGACGATGCTTGCAACACATCGTTTACACCACCTAGCCTGCGCCCACGTAATCTGTTCACTCTGAATGCAGCGTACAACCCAGTAATATACACCTGGCGGCACATTGCATCACCTGCATGGCCTTTTACGCATGCGTCACCTTGAACACACCTGGGCGACCTGGCTTACAACACGCATTGCACCACGTAGATTGCACACCAACGGTGCAAGGGCTCCCTGGTTTGGGCCCACACTGGCAAACCTGACCCAACACAATGTTTGCAGTCAAGGGTTCGTACTTGGCGTTCCTAAGCTAGAAGGGGGGAAAGAAACATGAACATGAACTGTTGGCGCTCCGCGCGGATTTCTTGGATTCGCGCTGGACCCCCCTCCCTGGCGCGCGGAGCGCGCCGGGGGCGGCGCCGGAGACGCCGCCGGGGGCCCAGGCGCGGATCCGAGAAATCCGCGGGGAGCGCCACAAAGTTCACGCTCACGTGGCTTCTCTGCTTCGAGATCGAGGGTTCTTTCTCGGCGTTCCTGGGCTCGTGGCGCCGCCTCAGCATGTATTTGCCCAACGCAGTGCTTGCACACGTGGGCCAGCCGAGTCTTCAGCTGTCGCCCCCCCGTGGGCGCCCCTGGGTCCCTCTTGCGCGGGCCGGGCCGGCCGAGGCGTCGCCTGGTGCCCGCCCGCGGTCGCCTCGTGGGCGCGGCCTGCCGGCGACAGTGTGCAAAGGGGCCCTGGGACACACAAATACAAAGACACCAATCCCAGGATTCCCGGTATTTGCATCTATATTTTCTGGGTTTCCGTCTCCCCCCCCACTTCCCGTGCTTTCACGCACCTTCCTGGGAATCGACGAGGAATTGTGTCTGTGTTTTTTGTTCCCCTCCTGAATATGGGCGGGGAGTTGCCTTTGCCCGCGCTGCCCTGTTGGCGCCCAGCATGGCACCCCGTGCGCCAGCGCCCTCGCGCCGACCGCGCCCCGCACGCGTGGCGCCGCTGGCACACACGCGTGACCCCACTGGCACGCACGCGTGGCCCCACTGGCACGCACGCGTGGCCCCACTGGCACGCACGCGTGGCGCCGCTGGCACGCACGCGCGGCGCCGCTGGCATCCAGAGCTGGCTGGGCGCGGAGCCGCCTTGGCACACCTGGCCGCCTCGAGCCGGCCGCTGGGCCGCCCGGCGCGTCCTGCAGCCACGGGCGGCCTGCCCGCAGACGCCGCGGGCGCGCCGCGAGCGGTGCTGCCCGGCGGCCTGGTCACCGAGCGCGCGGCCTCGAAGAGGGCCTGGCCTGCGGGGCTGCGAGCAGGGCGGCGCCCCGCTGGAGGACGCAGAGCACTGCTCGAGAGGCTGCCCACGCGTCGGCGGAACGCAAGAGCACCCATGGGCAGGCGCGACCTGTGGTGCGCGGCTTCAGGCGGCTGCGGTGGGGCCGAATCTGAACGGGGGGCACGGGGGGGGGGCCCTTCTGGGCCCGCACCAAATGGGGAAACAAACACTGCCATTAGCATCGCAACGGGGAGGCCCACGCAAATTTCTCGGCGGAAGGGCGCTGGACCCCCCTCAGCGCGCCAGGGGCGGCGCCGGAGGCGCCGCCAGTCTCGAATCCGCGCGGACCTCCGAGTTGTTATGTTTGTGTCATTCTTCGTTCCCCCAAGGCCACTCAGGTGAAGTATCAGTCTTAGCTGCAGCCGAGCGCTGGCGCTCAGCGAGGCACGCTGCCTGGCTGCCTTTGCGCCTGCCAGGCGCGGGCCTGCCTGCCGCCAGAGGTGGCTCCGACAGGGGGTCCTGCCGCGGCATGTACGCTTTGCGCCCCTGGCTGACCGGGCGACGTGGCCGCTGCCGCGGCCCGGCGCTGCTCGACCTGGCGAGTGCTGCTACGACAGCCGCGGGTCCACGGACGCGGGTTTGGACCCATGGCGCCTGCGTGCACCCGGCGGACCATCTGCTAGCCAGAGCAGACTGCGGGGTGCGGGTGGCGCACCCTGCCAGCACGCTGGAGCAAAGGGGGCCCTGTCGACGGCGAGCAGACCGCGATGCGCGCGGCGCTCACTGCTGCCCTGCTGGCGCTTGGGCTGGTGGAGGTCATCACGGACTCGAAGTACGTGAGCAACGGCGTGGCGGCGCTCAGGGGCGGGGCAACGCCCATGCAGTGGTCTCACGCCGACCTCTGGGACCAGCTGTCCCCTCCCTGCCGGGCCAAATGGCTGCGGGCCCGCTGGGTCAAGAGCTTACTGGGTCGCCTGCCTGCAGTGCGGCTGCGCGGCGCCGCGGTGGGATACCCTGGCTGCTCGCCTGTGCGCGGGATGGGCGGCCGCCTGGCCGCCATCCTACTGCAGCCGAAGCGGACCGGAGGCGACGAGGGCGCCTAGCGCGCGGCCCTTCGCGCCCGCCTGGACGCATGCCCGGGCGCGCTGGAGGCGCCGAGCTGAGCAGGTACGGCGACTCCCCCCCCTCGCCGCAGCTCCCTCCCACCCCCTGCCTGCGCTCCACGCCGCAGGGCTCCTCTTGCGCCTGCACTGGCAGTGGCAGCAAGTGGTCGTCCTGTGGGCGCCTCGTGAGCTGGGTGGCTCCGCCGAAGACCCGCCCGGCGCCTCGTGCGCTGGGGGGGTCCGCCGAGGTGTTTTGCCCAGTACGCGCCCGCGGGCGCCTGGTGGGCGCCCCGTGCGCTGGGCGGCCGCATAGCTTGCTCCACGCAGCTGGTACCACAGAGCCTGCACCACACAGATCACGCAATATAGCCTGCACCCCGCTGCTTATACCACACAGCCTGTAGCACCCCACAGCTTACACCGGCCAGATTGCACCGAATCGCTTACGCGGCAGCGCTCGCAACACCTAGCTCACATCAAATTGCTTACATCTGCACGACCTCGTACCACATAGTTTGCACCACAGAGCTTGCGGCGCATTGATTGCCCCACCTAGGTTGTATCAATCAGCTGGCGCCATTGCACTACATAGCTTAGAGCATGTAGCTTGCACCACAGAATGAGAGGAATGCACTGTTGTTCTAAGAGCGGTGTCCGATTAGTAACAGCCTCTCTGCGTGAAAGGTCGCGGCGCGGGATGCCGCAGGGGAACTACAATGTCCTCAGGGTACCTGCCAAGGCAGGCCTGTGCAACCCTTGTTCTGGGGAGGGATACCCCGTCTTTGAAGGGGCCCTGGGACACACAAATAAACACACACAAATAAAAAGATTCCCCATATGTTCACAAATTTTCTGGGTTTCTGTCTTCCCCCCCCCCCCACTTCCCATAGTTTCCAATATTTTCTGGGGGATCGAGGATTAATTGTGTCTGTGTGTTTTCTCCTCTCCTGAGTCCTGAGGAGGACAGGGGGGATACGAGGAGGAGGAGGAGGAAAAGGCAGAGCAGGGAAGGGGGGCAGGGAGAGGAGGAGGAGCGGGGAGAAGGAGCAGGGAGATCCTGGGCTCCGCCTGCCCAAGACGGCCGCCGATCAGCGGCGCACGGACCGCCCGCCGACGGGGCCGCGTGGGCGCGAGGAGCGAACTGCGCTGGGGTCCTCCGCACGACTCGTCGTCGCCGTCGCCGTGACCGCCGTCGTCGTCCATTCGTCGTCGCCGTCGTCATGTCCGTCGCCATCGCCGTCGGCGGCGTCGTCGTCGCTGTGGTTGTCGTCGACGAGATCATGCTCGTGGCCAGCGTCTTCTCGTCGTCACGACGAGGTTTGGGAATATGTATGAGCGGTCTCGGCGTTTCTTTTGTACCGCCAGGGGCTCTGGAGGGCTTCGAGAGCCTCTTGAGTCCTCAGGAGCCCCCCCCCCTTGAGCTAGTCGTCGGAATCGTCGTTCTCGTCGCCGTCGTCATTCTCGTCCTCGTCGTTCTCGTCGTCGTCAACGTCGTCGATTCCGTCGTCGTCGTCATGTTCGACGCCGTCGTCGCTGTCATTGTTGTCGGTGCTGCTTTTCGTCGTCACTTTTGTCGCCTTCGTCGCCATTCCGTGGCGGCGCGCACAAAGGAAATAGGGGAAGGCCTCTTGGAAGGAGGCTGCTACGCAGGAAGGCGCTGGCCCCACAGCTCTGCACAAGGCTCGCGCCTTCTAAGAAGCAGGGGTGCCTCCCCAATCAGTGCCTGCACTGAAAGGGCCCTGGCGGATACTGAAAGACTTGGCGAAAGTCCTAAGCCAAGTTCGGTAGCCCGCTGGGTTTAGGTTCCCGGTTCCGGGCCCCCGGGTTCCTGGCTGCTGTTGGCTCTGGGCCGATCTCGGGATCCCACGATCGAGCTCACCCTCGATCCCACGATCGAGCTCGCCAAATGTTTTTCAACCATCCACTGCTTGGGGCGTTTCTCTGGTGCAATTCTAAGAGGCCTTCCCCCATACCCCATACCTGCCCCCCCTGTCTGGGGCGGCCACGAGGGGGCGTCCAAGTGTGGGGGGCGCAAATCATGATCGGCGGCGGCCCAGGGGGGGGGGGCTAGGACGTATTGAAATCAGAAGAGGCGCCATGATATCTGGGGAGATGTCGTGGCCTCCGCCATGATATCCACCTTCCCCTGGTCACCACCCCCCTCTTGGCTCCCCCCTCAAAGCGTGGCCGACCACCGTCGCCGCCCTCGCCGTCGAGCTCGTCAAGTTTCCTCGTCGTCGCGTCTCCTCCGCGGGCGCAAGCAGCGCGCTCAGGAGGCCGTGGCCGTCGCGGAGCAGCGGCCGGAAGCGGGCGTCCGCGGAGGAGCCGGCGGCGGACTGCAGGCAGTGCTCCACGTTGGCCTGCCAGGTGGGGGCGAGGAGGTGCGAGGGGAGAGGAAGGAGCAAGGAGTCGAATCGAATCGAGGTCTGGGGCTATGTTCTTCCCCTCGTACCTAAGGGCCACATCCCAGCAATAATTTCGAGCCCCCGAAGAAGTTTCCAAACATCCCGACACGTGAAAAACCTCCAATCTCGGTGCTTTCTTGGTGCTCGGGCAGGGGAACCCTCCCCCTCTCCTCCCTGTTTTTGGGAGGGGTCGCGAGGTGTCAGAGGGTCCTTTTTCGGCCCCTGGGAGGGCAAATTGTTTGACACCCCTCACGAGGATCGTGGCCCCCGACGGGGGGACGGAAATCGAGTACCCCCCCTTTTGACCGACCGCCTCCAAGATGGCCCCAATGGGCCCGCCGGGGCACCCAAGAGGCTCCCGAGGGGCTCTCCAGGGCTCCCAAGAGGGCCCAACGAGCGCCCCAAGAAGCCCCAAGAGGCCTCCAAAAATCACCCGAGAAGCCCCCAGAGGCCCCCGAGGGGCCCCCGAGGAGCCTCAGAGAGCCCAAGATCACCTTCAAGATGGCTCACGATAGCCCAAGCTAGCTCCAGAGGGCTCCCAAGATGCTCCAAGAGGCCCCAAGACCTCCTCGTTCTCATCCTTCCCCTCCTCCTCATCCTCCTCCTCCTCCTCCTCCTCCTCCTCCTCCTCCTCCTTCTCTTCCTCCTCCTCCTCCTACTCCGCCTCCCCCTCCCCTTGCTCCTCATCCTCACTCTCTTAGTTCTCGTCATCCTCATCCTCGTCCTCCTTCTCCACATCTTGTTCCTCATGCCTCCTCCCTCCTCCTTCCTCCTCCTCCTCCTCTTCCTCCTCCTCCTCCTCCACCGCCTCCTCCTCCTCCTCCCTCTTCTCCTCCCCTCCTCCTCCTCCTCCTCCTCCTCCTCCTTCACCCCCCCCCCCCCAAGCGGGCCCGGAGATGGCCCCAACACGCCGTCCAGGCCGGCCCCCGCTGTTTGACTATGCGTGTCTTTTCTTCTCTCCCCCCGTCAGCTCTCATGGGCATCGTTTCTGGATGGGCTGGTGGGGATGCTGGTGGCCTGGGCTATTGCATATTGGAACATCATACTGGGAGGGGAGAGGGAAGAGCGAGGAATCGAATCGAGTCGAGCTCCAGGGCCATCAGGTCAGATCGCCACCGCGTGGGAGGCTTGCGCTACTCCTGGTGACCACTCTTACGAGGTAATACGAGGGAAGAGGGAGGAGCGAGGCATGGAGCCGAGTCGAGCTCCGGGGCCCATGCAGCCAGCCCGCATCACAAGGAAGCACGATGAACAGGCAAGGGCCCTGGAGGGCCATGTCGACACTTTGCGAGCGGGGCGCGGCCAGCGAGAACGGCCAAGGATGGTGGATTTTGTTTTCTGTGTGCGGCGGGTGCTAAGTGTATCGTTCGGCTAAAACTGCCCGCCTGGAATATTGAGAAGACCGGGTGCTAAGAATAACCCAGGGGGGTTTCTTAATGCCTTCCTGAGGTTACCCTTGGGAAGGTGGGCCCTCCTAAATCAGATCGTCACCGCGTGGGAAGGTCGGGCGTGGTGTCCTGGTGGTGATGCTCACCGAGTAATCACACAACCATAGGACCACGTGTTTGCTGCGACGCCCCGGGGACCAATCGGGGCACTTCGCAATCCTGCCGCGCGGGCACGAGCACTGCTCCGGCAGGAGGTGCGCAGGGAGGTGGGGGGAGCGAAGAGCGAGGAGGGATGCACAGGCCACCCAAAAACTGCACGAGCATAGCCTCCGCGCGGTTTGCTTAGATGAAGGCTGGACCCCACCCTGGCGGACGGGGGTCCAGCGCCGGTCCAAACAACCAGCGCGGAGCTACAAAGAGTGCCGGGCAGGGTGCGCCGGCGCACCAGGCGCACCGATCGTGCTGACGCTGCGCACTGTTCTTCTCCTGCAGAAGCACGCACGCGCGGATCGACTTCCAAGGGCACGCACAAGAGCCCTGCACAAGGTGCGCAGTGTCCCCCGCTGAAGGCCTCCGCACAAGAATCGCGCGAGCACTCTTTCGAATCAAACCGAGGTCCTCCTGTTGCCAGCTCCTCGTCGAAGGACGGGCCACCAGCTGCTGTTGTTGCGTCGCGGCGCGGCAGAGGCACTCCGCGCGCGCGTTCGAGTGGCCGGGGGAGCACGGAGACCGAACTGGCTGGCTGCAAGCGGAAGACCAGTGCAAGGACGGGAGGGGGAGGAGGGGCACCCACCGCAGAGGAGGGGCACCCACCGCAGAGGAGCTGGCGGGGCGGCCGCAGAGAACGGGAGGGGGAGGAGGGCACCCACCGCCGCACGGCGCTCCCGCGGAGCGCGCCCGTGCGGCCGCAGGGGCGACACGGCAGCGGGCGAGGCCACCGGCCACAGGCCGAGCCGAGGAGCACCACCCCGCCCGGCGGGCGCGGGGCGCCGGATCGCGCTGGGGGCGGGCAAGATTGAGCAGGGACCGACCGTCCCGGCACTCCTGCAGTCCTACCACGACATGTTCTCAGAGCCCAAAAGTGTTCTAAGAACACTTCGTGGCAATCACAAGAGGTTCTTAGAACATTGTTTGGTGGGGCGAGCCAGGACGCCTCGCCACCGCTTGAGGGCAAGAGCCACCGCCGCCGCGCCACCGCGGCTGCTGCCGGCCCGGCTGCTGCTTCCACTGGCGGCCCGCTGCTGCCAGCCCGGGCGGCCCAGCGCGGGCCGCCCAACTGCCCAGCAGGCGCGCAGGCGGCCCGCGCGCGCGCGTCTGAGCGAACGCTCGGCAGCGCGACTGCGGTGGGGCGTCTGCGGCGTCGAGCTGAGCCTCCTCCTCTCCTCCTCCTCCTCCTCCTCCTCCTCCTCCTCCTCCTCCTCCTCCTCCTCCTCCTCCTCCTCCTCCTCCTCCTCCTCCTCCTCCTCCTCCTCCTCCTTCTCCTCCTCCTCGTCCTCCTCATCTGTGTGACCCGCGCGTGGGGCTCCAACGGGCTCCACGCCTCCAGCCGCACAGCGCGTCTCTCCCGGGGGGCGCCGCGCCTGCGCGGGCGGCCATGGGCAGTCCCGCAGTGGGCCGGGCGGCAACCGCGCCGCCGCTCCGCCGCCATCACCGTGGGAGCGTCTGGGGGGGCGGGGGCGATCCCGACGTCGAGAGCCGCACGCCCGTGCCCCAGCGCCCCCAGTGAGCACGTCCCGCAGGCCGCCAGCGCGTGCTCGGGAGACGGTCGGCTCTGCGTCTCCAGCACGGGGGCGGGGTCGCAGGCCCGTGGGAGGGACACACATCAGCCCGCCGCCGCGGCGCCGCCGCCGGGGCGAGGAGCAGCCAGACACAGTTTGCCGTCCGCGGACAGGCACGGGGACTGCGCTGGGGAGTAAAGCGAAACGGGGCAACGTCAGGCGAATTCAACCACCACGCAGGAGGGAGGGGAGAGGGCGACGAGGCGCCGGCCAGGGGAGCACAGCCAGACGCAGGGACGGATTCCGAGAGAGCGGCGTTTTGGCAGAGTCGGCTGTGAGCGATGGAAACAAGCGGGTCCCACGCGAGGTGGCACAGCAGCCTTCCGCCGCGGCATCCGCGAGCCGCCATCGTGGCTCGCCACACCGGAGGCGAGGACGCTCACGCTCGGCACGCCGCACTGGAGGTGAGGGCGCTCACACGAGACCCAATCGCGGGCAGCTTACTGCGCGCCATCGTCGGTGCAGAGCGCCGCTCGGCTGGCAGAGCGAAGACGGCTCGGAGGAGAACACCCTCACAGAGGCTCTTGGGGCTACGCCGAAAGCTGGCGCCCCCGCCGGATCCCAAGGGCCGCCGGGAGGTGCGAGGAGCGAGGGGGAGGGAGGAGAGCAGGTCGAGGGACCCGAGTCGATTCGATAAGAAGGATCGGCGATCGAAACGAATCAGATCGGCGGAGATCGGCGGCCAAGTCGGGAGAAGTCGAACAGGAGGAAATCGGCGGGCTGGTAGGCCGCCAGTGAGAGATCGGAGTCCAGATCGGAATCCGAGGTCGAACCGAATCGGAAGCGGAATCGGAAGCCATCGAAATCGAATCGAATCGAAACGAATCGGAAGGGTCGAAGTGAGCCCTGGCGGGAAGGAGAGAGGAGCGAACGAACGAACGAACGAACCACCATACCTGACAGATGTCTGGGCCCATGTAAGACGACGTGGGGGAAACCATGGCAACTGATCATAATCGGCATCATTGGCAGCATCAGAACCAGCACCATAATCATAGCCACAAGAGTCTTGATATAACTGAGAATTCTCTAAGTCGACATCGATATCACAATCATCATCATCATCATCATCATCATCATCATCATCATCATCATCATCATCATCATCATCATCATCATCTTCATCATCAGCATCATCATCATCGTCATCGTCATCGTCATCGTCATCAGCATGAGTACTATCACTAGCATCAGCATCCTCATCATTATCAGCACCTTCATCATCATCCTGAGCAACAGCAGCAGCACCATCGTAACCAAAATCAACAGCATCATCAGCATCAGCATTATCATCATTAGCATCAGTATCAACATCAGCATCAGCATCATCATCGTCACCATCATCATTATGAGCAATCTCATCATCAGCAGCATCAGCATCGCAATCATCATCAGAATCAGCATCATCATCATCGTCATCAGCATCAGCATCAGTGGCATCATCATCGTCGTCATCAGTGGCATCATCAGCAACATCACCATCATCAGCATCATCATCATCGTAAGCATCAGTATCAGCATCATCATTAGCATCAGCATCAGACGCATCATCATCCGATCAACATCCTCATCAGCATCACCATCAGCATCATCAGCACACTCATCAGCATAATAAGCATCATCATCAGCAGCAGCAGCAGAACGATGATGTCATCGTCATCATCAGCAACAGCAACACGGCACTCGCCATCACCAGCAGCAGCTTCGTCATCATCAGCATCATCATCATCATCAGCATCGTCAACATCGACAGCATCAGCATCAGCATCAGCAGCAACAGCAGCATCAGCATCAGCATCATGATCAGCATCATCAGCATCATCATAGACATCGTCATCAGCATCAGCAGCACCATCATCATCACCACCATCGTCGCCATTGTCATCGTCATGATCATCATCCTAATCGCGATCACTATCTTTCACACCATCACCATCCTCATCAGGATCATGATCATCACGAGCATCAGCATCATCACCAGCATCGCCAGCATGAGCATCATTATCATCAGCATCAGCATCATCCTGAGCAGCATCAGCATCAGCATCAGCAACATCAGCATCATCATAATCACCATCTCCAACGCCATCACCAAAACTATCACCATCGCCATCACCATCACCATCATCAGCAGCAGCATCAGCATCATCATCATCATCAGCAGCATCAACAACATCGCAATCAACAGCATGATCATCATCATCATCATCAGCATCATCATCATTTATGATCATCATCATCCTCATCATCATGAACATCGTCATCATGATCATCAGAATCATCATTATCATCACCATCATAATCATCATCATCATCATCAAGATCACCATCACCATCACCATCATGATGATCATCATCATCATCATCATCAGCATCATCATCATCATCATCAGCATCATCATCATCATCATCATCATCATCATCAACATCAACATCATCATCATCATCATCATCATCATCATCATCATCATCATCATCATCATCATCATCATCATCATCATCATCATCCGCATCATCACTCACTCCCTCCTGCCTCACTCCTCCTCCTCATCCTCCTAATCCCCATTGTCCGCCCCCCCTCCCTCATGGCGCTCTCCTCCGACGGTGCAAATTGTTCGTGATGCTGGACCCCAAGGTTTCAACCACCTCCCTGGAGCCAGATTCTAATCCCGAACTGTTTTTACTTCAGTCCCGGGGCTCGGAACTGGACCGAAAGCGACGAAACACTAGCCGTCGCGGTGTTTGAGGCGTCGGCTGGATCTTGAGGAAGTCCTCTGCGCTGGCCACCTAAAGATGCGATGCCTCGATTGCTGGAATACTGGATCCCCAAGAGTTTCCGAGCCTCTCCTCAGGACCACACTGTCATCATAGGTTGTTGTTTTTTGCCGGCCCACGGGCCTTGCGACAAAGACCCCGCAGGCCAAAAAAGACAAACAACAAAAGAACTCCGTCTTCATTTGGGGGCCCAAAGAATATACACCAACACCACGTCGATTCCTCCTCTCTCCTTTGTCCAGCGAGAGGGAGGGGGGAGGGAGGTGGTGGTGGTGGTGTATAATTTTTGGCCCCCGATTCATTGCTTCCACATGGCGGATGCTCGAATGTCGAATGCCCGGTCTCCCGCGGTGGCTCCGTAGCGATGCGGGCCCCGCCGGAACGCTGCCGAGAACGGCGCAGCAAAACTGGAAGGCGTCAGGAGGGTGGAAAGCCTCGCGAAACCTACGAGACCATGGATCTCGAAAATCGCACCTCGAGAGACCTGCGGGGAGCGAGGAGGAGGAGGAGGAGCTGGAGGAGGAGGAGGAGGGGGAGGACGAGGGGGCCACGGGGGGCCTGCAGGCCCTGCCGGGACGCCCGCGTGACCCGGAGGGGCCTGTCGGACGCCGTTCCCGAGCGGCACAGTTCCTGCCGCGGGGGAGGCCCTCCGACTCTCGTCCGCATCCGCATCAGCAGCAGCATCAGCATCAGCATCAGCTCAATCTGAAGGGGCCTCAGGACACACAAAAAAATACACACAAATAAAAATGTTCCCCATAGTTTCCCATATGTTCTTGGTTTCTGTCTTCCCCCCCACTTCCCATATTTTCCCATATTCTCTGGGGAATCGAGGATGAATTGTGTCTGTGTGCATCACGCAGCACCCAGCAGTCGCGGGTGAGAGTGAGGGGGCGGCGGGGACGTCGGCAGGCTGCGAGGCTCCGGAGAAGACCGCCCAAGGCGCCTCCAAGTGTTCCAAATTATGCAACGAGCCTGCCGCAGGCGCCGAGTTTCGTTAAAGCAATGTGGGTGGGTCGCGGGGTGGGTCGCGGTTGGGTCGCGGGTGGATCGCAGGTGGGTCGCGGGTGGGTCGCTGGTGGGTCGCGGGCCGGGTCACGGGTGGGTCGCGGGTTGGTCCATGGTGGGTCGCGGCTGGGTCGCGGCTGGGTCGCGGGCGGGTCGCGGGTTGGGTCGCGGGTGGGTCGCGGGTGGGTCGCTGGGTGGGTCGTGGGTGGGTCGCGGTGTGGGTCGCGGGTGGGTCGCGGGCCGGGTCGCGGGAGGGACGACGCCGAACAACAGCAAACAAACAACAAGAATCCGTATCACAGGGTCCCACTTCAGCTACGCACCGAGGGACAGTGAATGACCGTTCGGCACCCTCACTCTGACATATATCTGTATACATGTATACTTCTAGACTCCTGTATACATGTAAACAGATGTATGATGTATACATACGTATACATGTGCATCACAGCGATGGGCATCAACATCGCCCTCATTCGAATACTAATAACAAACAAACTAATCAGTGTCACAAACATCATCAACCTCCTCCTCCTCCTCATCATCATCGTGAATAACAGCATCAACATCAGCATCATGATCACCGTCGTCATCATCATCATCCTTACCATCAGCATCATCATCATCATCATCATCATCATCATCATCATCATCAACATCAACATCATCATCATCATCGGAATCAGCATCATCATCGCCGTCATCGTCATCAACATCATCACCATCACCATCATCATCACCACAACCATCAGCAGCATCATCAGCATCATCAGCAGAATCATCATCATCATCATCATCATCATCAGCATCCTCATCGTAATCATCATCACCATCATGAGCATGATTATCATCAGCGCCAGCATCAGCATCAGCAGTATCATCAGCATCGTCACCATCATCTATGAGAACATCAATTCGTCAGCGCAAGTGGAGGAGGAGAAGGACCAGGGCAAACTCAGCATGCATCAACGATACTGCAAATCCCTCAGCCTAAGTCCCCACAGGCCTCCCGTCTCACCGTTTAAAGCGCACCCTGGAAATACCAGGCCACATGGACCTACCATTCAGACGAACACCCCGTTTGGAAACACAATGAAAAACTCTGCATCTTCCCAACGCACAATCAGGAGCGCGAAGAATTATGACCACACAGTTCAACGAGGTGCCAAGCGAGATCCCCAGATTGAAAAGAAAAACACACCATCCGTTTGACTGCTGCACGAGTGCAGACCTATGGACATGAGTTCCGAGGGAGTCTAAAGAGAGAGAGAGAGAGAGAGAACCGAAGTTCCAGCGCAACCGCAATCAATCCGTGCAGCTGGTCCGTACCTCCGCAGTTTGAAAATAGTGCTGCGGAGCTAGAAGACAAATGTAGGCGACCCTGAGGCGGGCGAGAGCCTAATGTTGAACAGGGGCCACCCTCCATCCTTGCAACTGCTGCAAGCCTTGGAGAGGAGTGTACGCCGCGCCAAAACGAGACCTCCATTGGTAAACCACCCCGTGACTGTAACCACCCGCCCACCCACACACTTCCATCCGATAAACTGTTGTAATATTTCCAAAAGGACGCGCGCGGGGGCTAAGGCGAGCGCTGCATGTTTCCCCAACTAGGCTTGCCTAAGGAGTTCTTCCTTGCTTATAGATTGGTGCCTCCTGCTGTTACTTTGCCCGTTGCTCAGAAAGTCCTCGGGTTCCCCACCCTCGGTGCCTCCTATGGTTACGTTGCACGTTCCGCGGAGGTACCTCGGTTTCACCGGGTTCCTTCCCCGCCCCCGGTGCCTCGTTTCTCGGAGGCTCCTGAGCAACGCAGTCTTAGCAAGTGCCTCATTGTCTTAGCAACGCAGAGAAACCACATGCAGTGCCAAGCAATGCCAGGCAATGCCAGGCAATACCAAGCAGTGCCAAGGAATGCCAAGCAGTGCCAAGCAGTGCCAAGCAATGCCAAGCAATGCCAAGACCTGCAAAGCACTGTGCCCATGCGATAGGAAGCTCTCCCCGAAATTGGGTCGCGCCAGGTTCATGAAAGCGACCTCTGCTGCATTTGTTGCGAATCTCAAACTTTATGCCCCTGTATGATGAGAAAGTCTCACGCAAACGCCAGACCCAACATGCCGCCACGTCTGGGGAACCCTACCGCCACGTCTGGGGATGCGGCAGGAAAGAGTTATATTTCAGAGATGGTGGAGGAGGAAGAGAGGAGGGCTTCATCCTCCCTTTCCCTCCTCCTCCTCCTCCTCCTCGTCCTCCTCCTCCTCCTCCTCATCCTCATCCTCGTCCTCCCCCCTGCCCCCGGGGGCCCGAGGACAGGTCAGGGGTGACGGCGTCGTCGTCGATCGAGGATCGAGGGTCGTGGATTTCTGGCGATCTCGTACGTTCTGGTAGTTTTTCCAGCCTCGAGATGCTTCCCAGCAACTGCGCCTCAACGAAAGCGGTCCGGGTGTGCTCAGATCGACACGAACAACCGCCAGAGACCCGAGTTATAGCCCGAAGACCAGACCCCGCTGTTACGCAACATCGTGAAACATCCAACACTATGAATAATCGCAACAGGGTCCCTCGACAACATCGTAGCACGGCATTTCGCAGGCCGAATCTGTCCGCGAAAGCCCTGGGACCCGAATGCAGGCAAAAACGCCTGGCGCAAAGCAAACGCGACACCCAACTCTCAAGAAGCTCAAGGGAAGGTCTTCGCCTGAACGGTACCAGACCCCCCCGCGTCGCGAAGAGAACACGACGAACAAGTCGTCGCCTGATTGCGGCCTTCGCGCCCTTAGCAGGCCCCGCGACCTTCGAAATATACACCCAGGATGAAAAGCTGCCCAAACATCCGGTAGTCCAAATTCCGAAAAAACACGCCTGGGGTCTGATATTGAGAAATACTCATGCCCGATCAAGGGGCCATCAAAGTGAATTAGCCCCGATTAATCCACGCACTACGATAGATGAGGCCAATTCGGCCAGATTTCGAGCAAGGATTAGCAGGGCCGATAACCTCGCAGGAAGGTGCAACCTAGCTGAGGGGCATCTGAGCAAACTGTAAATTCATAGAACTGGTGCTAGCCAGCGTTGACTCCAAACCGAAGCTATTGACCAAAGGATGTGTGAGCTACGTCGTGCAAGCTATTTCCAAACTGGAGGCGGCATTGAAGCGGCAACGGGCAGCAACGTGACCAAACCTCGCTGGACACGCACAACGCACTAGGCTGCATCGGTCGGCAACGGGCCGAAACCTCGCCAGACCCACTCAGAGCACGAGGCGGCAACGAGACGGCAACGAGGCCGCGACGGGGGGCAACGCGGCGAAACCTCGCCGGACCCACCCAACGCACGAGGCGGCAACTAGGCGGCAACGAGGCGGCAGCGTGGCGAAACCTCGCCAGCCCCACCCAACAAACAAGGCGGCAACAAGACAGCAACGGATGGCAACGTGGCGCCACCTCGCTGCAACCACCCAACGCACGAGGCGGCACCGAGGCGGCAACGGGCGGCAACGTGGCGAAACCTCGCTGGACCATGCGGTAGCGAGGCGGCAACGAGGCGGCAACGTGGCGAAACCTTGCCAGACCAATCCAGACCATGAGGCGGTAACAAGGCGGTGACGGGTGGACAACGTGGAAAGTGGTCATCGCATCGCACTGGTGAATTACTGCCCGAGGGTTCGAAGGAACAAATCGAGAGAAAACATACAATGAGGTACGGGATCTCTGGGTAGGGCAGAGGGGCAAAAGAAACTAAAAGTCGAACAGGCCATGTCTGGGTCGGGAACCAGACGCGACGCCGCTGAGGGTAGTTGTGCACTTAGGCTGTTGCCTTCGCAGGCCCGAGAGGGAGGGGGTGAGGGAGGTGGCGGTGTACCTGTTTGGGGCCCCGTATTTCTTCGCCCGGCCCGGGCCTGTCCAGACTGCCCCTCCTCCCATTCCCTGCAGCGGTGAACCCATCACTAAGGGTGCTAGAGAGTTACGCCACACCCACGGGAGGGGCGCAGACGCAGAAAAGCTGGACTGCTATGACGACGCGGGGCTGGTGTGCATGTCCACCTCGACGCAGGGCGCAATGCTCCCGGCCGTGCTGAGCAGCATGCGGGGCGCCATGGGAGCGGGGATCGGACTTCAGACCCAGAGCCATGGAACAAGCGTTGGGTGAGAAGGCAACGGGGGGTTCTCAACTCGGACGCCCAGCGTTGCGAGGGAAAGCATACGGATTTGTGTCGATGTCGGCCCCTGGGGGCGGCCGGTATCGAGCTCGGGGGCAGCCAAACAAACGTCTCGCAATGAAGAAGCGGCCCTGGGAAAAGGGTTGGGGCTCCAGAGACCCCTCAGTGAGAAACACAAGGCGTCGCATGTCTGGGAAGAAGGGGCGCACTTCTAGGAGGCCATGATCCCCACACACTGTGCGAGCGTGGTGTGCCCCCTGAGGCAATCCGTGTTGCTACAGAATCATACGATTAATAACACGCAGAGGCCAGCACGCCATCTGATCGTGCTCCAGCTCTGCCGCCAGCACGCCAGATAAAATTGATCGAACCTGTAAAGCGAAAAGGGGTGGGGAAGGAGAAAGTGTACCGGCTACACGCAGCATTGGCCCTACGCAAGAGTGGCAGTTGGGACATGGCTTTGAGGGGC